ATTAGAAGAGGCGTATCAGTTAAGTACCAACACCCTATTTCTAAGCATAAACATTTGAACATGCATTTCTCACATTCATGACAAATTTCTCTAGTTGTAATCTGGCTTTGGTGGAAGAGACAATATTTTCCTGTAACAGGTTATGAGCTCATTCCTCCAAAAATCAGTAATGTTAATGTAAGATATTTCCATGGGCAATTTAGCTAATAACTCAGCAGAAGTCTGTATCTTAGTATCTTATCAGAACTTCATAAAAGTTCACATATTAGTACATTTCTCTACTGAGTCAATTTTTCCACTGTTTTTAAGGGTACATTACTGGTAGGAGTGTTTTGTGTAAGTGTTAAAATTTGTTTCAGTAATATTAAAAATTACTGGGTAGTTTTTGTATAAACTGGAGTAGTTTTATTTTGGTAGCGTTGCAAGAAAATGAGATTAGAATCGTAATGACATTTAAAAATGAATTTGTTGTAGATCGTTTATTCTCTCTCTCTCTCTCTCTCTCTCTCTCTCTCTCTCTCTCTCTCTCTCTCTCTCAAGAACGTTGTGTTGTATACCATGTTCTGAACACCAATGAGTTCTTTTGTTTTAGAAGTAACTGAGACGGACGTGATATGGTAGCTGATACATTGGGGAAGAATGGTGTAGCTGATGTAACAACAGCTGTGCTCAGTTAAAGTGTTTTGGAGCTGCAGTACAGTATGAGAGTGTTGTTTATGGCTAACATGACAAAACAATTGTGTGCATGGTTGTATTTATAATCCCAAAGGGAGATCAAGATTTTTAAGAATTACATGATTCCTTTAATTCTCTAAGAAACTTTTATAAATCTGTTTTTATTCATATGTATATTGTTGACTAAATTTTGTAATAAACTGTCCTTTTTGGGGAGGGATTCTTCCCCATTCCCCCCTCTGCATAAGCAGAGCGGCCTGCATATTCTAATTACATCTAGAAATATGTTTTATTGGCCTCCTATACTAGGGGACACTGCAAGCTCAGGGTAGTTAAACTAATAAAAAATGGTAAGCACAAAAAGTTAACTCAGATTGAGAAATGGTATAGAATTATTAAATATCGCTCATCAGTCTTCATTCACAATTCTCTAATAGTGTTCCTATGCCTGACCTCTGTTTCCCCAGAGAAGGAGGAGGATTTTTATTCCTCTCCATGTGTGGAAGAGAACTGCTCTGGTAGCCTCAGGAATGGAGCTACATTTTCTTCACACTGCCAGAGTTCAGCTCTGCTCAGTAGACAGCTCTTTCAGCCAGCCTCCAGAAATGAGAGGGAGTCATTTCAACAGACAGCAGCACTTTGCAACCTTCCCTACTGGCTTCCCCATTGACTTTCTGGGAAAGCTGGCAGAGAAGATTACAAATAGCAATCACATCATTGTGGGACACTTGGCCACAGGTCTACATGTAACAGGTTGCCAAGCTGTGATTGCAGGGGGGGGGGAGCCACATGATGTTTTATGATGGCTGGAAGTGCTTTATGGGCTGTTTAGTTCCCTTCCGGAGGTTGTTGTAACTTTGAGTGATTTTTAAATGACCAAATGTAAATCAGATAAATCTATACCTTTAACACGATCAAACAAAACATCTGTCTATCCTAGATTCTTGGGAAGTACTCAATAGGTGAATAAATATGCAAATTCCAATGTAAACATCTGGGTGATTTTGTGATCAACCATAATAATAATTAGTTATGCAATAATCATTCAGACTGTTCACCAAAGTTACTTCTTGATCAAAAATGTATGTTCATTCTCTCAGATTTGTTAAGATCTAAGTGTTCTTCCATATTTTCTTTTACAAAAGTCCTGATACTATTTCAACAAGAAAACACATTGAATCTCTATAATGGCTACTCCTGCTAGTTTTATCAGTGTTAGTTATATAGTTTACCAGTATTATAAATATTAAAATAAATTTAACAAATAATTATTAATGGACTAACGCTGAATTTATATTTAATCTTTCTTGTAATGTTCACGTTATGATTTTGTCATTGTTTGCATAAAAGAATACATGCACTAAAATATGAACAAAAATATTATTCTGAACACCTGTAACTGGTTCTCAGACTGTGAAGGATTTAAAGAGCAGTTGCATAAATAATTCAGTTTGAAGATTTATCTTGTATAAGTGAAAGGAACAGACTATAAGGAAAAGGAAGAAGGCTGAGAGGAAAAGATTGAGGAATTCTCTATCTCTCACTTGGTTCAAACATTGCACTTTGCAACAAACCACACAATGACTTTCTCTTTCCTTTTATATATACAAGTCAATTAAAGCTTTAGTGCATTTGAGAAGCTGTTCAGTTTTTGATTTTTAAAATATTTCATTGAATTATAATTTTAGATATTAGTGATAAAGTGCTATCATTTCATGTTTTAAATATTGCATGCTTTGAACTACGTCATTGGCTAATACAAATTAAAATGTATATGTCTATGGAGATTCTCAGTCATCCAGGTTGTCCCAAAAGTGCTTTTTCAAAAGGCAACTAGACTTATTTTTTTCCTTGAAACTTATATGTTATCAATATAAGTATATATAAAAACACATTTCATTCTTTCGGGCACTATTTCATGTATACAGAGTTATCTCATTTAATGTTTCATTTTTCATAATCAGTTTTATGTTTGTGAAGTTGTATGTTCTTATGATAATTGAACATTTTTGTATAAATAATATAAGGTTTTCCAAGCAATTTGAATAAGGATATAAGCTGAAACTGAAATCATTTTAACTAATTAAAGACTCTAACAGCAACTGTTCCAAAATCAGCACTGCTTGCCCCTTAATCAGAATGCATTGGACAATAAATGGTTCCTCCACAGTCCCACTATGCAGATGGTGATAAAAGCTTTAAGCTTTTTGAAACATGCTTCATGTATTCCTCCTCTATTGTTTTAACAGCTGTCACACTTGGCATACTCATTGCCTATTCAATTTGTGAAGGTGACAACTTTTATTTTTGGAGTTAAAAATCCCTTCCTTTTAAGATTTCATTCCTAGGAAATAAAGTGTGACAAATATTGCTGTAAAAATATTGGCTTTATTAAATTCTCTTAGTATGTTTCTGGTTTAAGTTACTTCAGTGGTATTTAAGATTACTGTACTGTTTTTCTTTATGTAATGTAAAATTTGCCGATGCAGTATAGCTATATAATGAGGAGCTGTTTTACCAATAAAGCATTTTTAGATAATATAATTATATGATATTATTTATAATATGTCATTTCAATTTTGACATAGTAGAATTCTTTGGAAGTCAGATTCGTGTTATCTTTTGAAACCCATATTGCCAGTAGGGTGTTCCTTCTGTTAGTTTGAGGGATTGCTGGACCTGTTATTCCTCCTCTTTGCTATTAGTACTTATTTATATGCCTTTTAAAATGCTAACTACTTGGTTTTATAGTTGCAAAAGAAATCATGATTTGGTTCAGGTTAATCCAGAAGAAGGTACAAACAAACGAGCAGTTGCAACAACGTTGAAAAGAAGAGATGTGTGCATTCTGAATTCTAGAGAATTAATTAATTCTGTTAATAATAGCTGTATGAGTATTTATTTGGACAGTTAATCTAGATCAAGGGTGGTCTACTTGTGGCTTTTAATGTCAACATTTTTTCAGAAGTTATTTACTATTGCCTACTTCTAGGACTGAGAGAATGAGTGATTGGCCCAAGGTCACCCAACTGACTTTGGGCCCAATGTTGGACTAGAACTCACGGTCTCCTGGTTTCTAATTTGGTATCTTAACCAGTGGTGGAATTCAAAAATTTTTACTACTGGTTCTGTGGGCGTGGCTTGGTGGGCATGGCTTGGACATGGCAGGGGAAGGATACTGTAAAATCTCTATTCCCTCCCCACTCCAGGAAAAGGTTACTGCAAAATCCCAATTTCTTCCTGATCAGCTTTGACTCAGGAGCCAGAGAATAGATGGGGGTGGGGCCAGTCAGAGGTGGTATTTACTGGTTCTCCAAACCACACAAAATTTTCGCTAGCAATTCTCCAGAACTGGTCAGAACCTGCTGAATACCACCTCTGATCTTAACCACAACATCAAACTGGCTCTCTATAAAAAACTGCAGGGATTATTCAGGCCAGGAGTCAACACTTACTAGAAGGCACATACATATATAGCAAAGATGGGTTCCTACCAGTTCAGATTGGTTCGGTCGAACCAGTAGTGGTTTGGCGATCTGGGTCGCTGGAAGCAGCAGCAACCCAGGCCTGCCTCACCCCCAAACCAGTTTTCCTACAGGGCTGCCATCTTTATTTTTGGTTCTGCGCGTGTGCAGAACAATTGTAATTGTACAAATGTATTTTTTTTCTTTTTTTAACATGCACATGCACAGAGCAAAATTTTTGTGTGCACTGAACTGGCAGTAATTCCGGAAGCAACCCATCCCTGATATATAGCTTTCCTTTCCCCATTATATATGAAATTACATTGATTGCACAAAACCATACATTCCTAAGGAGTATATTCCTTTAGTAATTTTAATAACCAATTAATTATAGCTGGGAGAACGAATGAGTTTTTATTTATGAGTTATCCTAGAACAAGGGTGTCTACTTTTGGCCTTTAAATGTCAATGAGCTATAGGCTCCCAATACCACATGCTAGCCATAACTGCAGGGAGATGAAACTCGGCAAAAAGAGCAACAGGTTGCCCACACCTGACCTAGAATGAATTTTATAGTTAATGATCTAAAGTTATTACTCCATATTTAAAGTGAGTGTTTCTGTTACATAGCTTGCTGTAAAGAATGCAGCTGATTCTTTTGTAAAATATGTAGAAATTACAGTATCTCTTCTTTTAGATATTACTTTGTCTAAACATATTCAGCAGACATAGACAAAATACAGTGGAATTAGATAATAATAATGATTATTTTTCAATAATTTTTAAGAAATAGATTTGTAGACATATTAAGTATTGACGCTATTAAATTATAACACAGTGTTCTTTTTATTTGTTATATAGCTTTATGCCAGTATATACAGGCCTCTAAAGCCCAAGATGGTGGTGGCCGTTTCATTTCAAGTTCAGCAGAAGGTAAAAACCAGGAGGAAAAATAATCAAAACTCTGGTTCATATTTCTTTTCTAGTATTTCTGTCCCTTGACCATCTGTGCCTTCTTGATTTTTCTTCACAGAATTGTTTTATAACGGATGATGGATTCCAGCCTTATAAAAACCAAATAAAATTAAAATTGATGCTATGTATATTTAAAGTTTTTATTTAAGTTTTGCATCTTTTATCAATATGTGCTTTTCCTAACTAATTTGAAAGTGGGAATTGGTTTTAAAGTACAAATAAATATTTAAAATAAATGAAGTAGCTTGTGTTACATTTATATAAGGAAAAGCGCAATGAGATAATTATATGCAAGGCACTAGCAATACTATAATTTCATTCTGCTTCCTCTTTCTTGCTAATAACTACTTTGCACTTCCTGCTTCTATTAAAAGGACTAAATTCAAATATTTTTTTACTTCCTAATTATGTTCTTTCTAGCATCTACATTAATAACGTTTGAATGAAAATACTGTGACTGATCACTTCTTTTTCAATTTTTCAGGTGAAAATTTTGAACAAACTCCATTAAGACGCACATTCAAATCCAAAGTTCTGGCTCGTTATCCAGAAAATGTAGAATGGAATCCCTTTGATCAGGATGCCGTGGGAATGGTTGGTAATTTATATTTTACACCCCATTTTTGCTCTTGAATCAATATGGTGTGATGATGACTGTACATACATCCCAACGGCATATTTGGTTGTATAATTCAGCTCTTAGGGTTTTTGTTTCACCTGCAAGTCATACTGAAGCACAAGAATCTAAATAGAACTGTAACTGGTCCTTCAACCAGAAAGTTGTTTAAAATACTGTTGTATTAGAGAGTCCAAAAATAATGAATTTAGATGAATTTACACAGAAATTCTGGAATGATGGGAAATGAGTTTCAAGAAAAAAAGATGCAGACCTCTAAATACACACACACACACTCTCTCTCTCTCTCTCTCTCTCTCTCTCTCTCTCTCTCTCTCTCTCTCTCTC